CATGAAGGAAACCTCATAAACCTCTCAATCATCTTCTTCTTACTTATAGTACAGTACCAAACCAAACGCGCGAAAGCTATGGTAGGAGCTTCGAGAACAATCCTTTCCCTCTCTTTTTCTTCTTCCCGCTTCACCTTCTCCAGAATCCCTCACGTTATCCCATTTCTCCGCTTCCACGAACCTTCCTCTAGATTCTACCACGCTTTTCGCCCTCTATGCGCCGCCGCAACTGCTCCGACTGAGACGAATATCGCAGATCCGGACCAGTTGAAGCACACGATCCTCCTCGAGAGGCTTCGGCTTCGGCATTTGAAGGATTCGGCGAAACCACAACAGAGGCCGAGCAGCGTTGGAATAGAGGTTGAGAACAGTAACAGGAAGAAGAAGAAATTGGTTGAGAATTTCGAGGAGCTGGGTCTTAGCGAGGAAGTAATGGGAGCTTTGCAAGAGTTGAACATTGAGGTTCCTACGGAGATTCAGTGTATCGGAATACCTGCTGTTATGGAACGCAAGAGCGTCGTCTTGGGCTCGCACACTGGTTCCGGCAAGACCCTGGCTTACTTGTTGCCTATTGTTCAGGTAACTCATGAATTTACTCAGACACTTGTTGTTGTTATTGCAATTTCGTTGAAGGGTCTTTGTGTTCTTATCGAGATGCTTCATGAGCTCATGAATCGCTTGTCATTTGTCAAAATGTTTCATTTGGATCAAAAATTGAAATGGTTTTCATTAACATTTTGTAGTTAATAGTTGTTATCTAAAGCACATGATTTGATTTGTTCTTTGTTTTCTAGTGTATTTCATGTTTGCAAACAGAAGGGGTATAGAGCTCCCTTGGTTCCATTGTTGTGTTGATTCGTTCGGGTACTAGATATGAAATTATACATAGTCATTTCTTACTTGTAAGAAATTTACGTTCTAGTTCGTTCTTGAAACATGGTGGTTTAAGTTGTGTTGATCTGATTTTGTAGCTGATGAGAGAAGATGAGGCATCTCTTGGTAAAATAACAAAGCCTAGGCGTCCGAGGACTGTTGTTCTTTGTCCTACAAGAGAACTATCTGAGCAGGTACGCTATTGCTTTTGTTTGTGTTGATACCAAGATTAGTTACTGCTCTCGATATATGCATGTCTTAGCAACTGGTAAATCGTAATGTGGTTTTCTTGTTTAGTTTGACTATTGAAACAATATGACCTTGCGGTTGCCGGAAAAAAAAAAAAGTTGGAATATTTGTTTTCCAGAATGTCTTGGTTGCCTTCCTTGACCATAAAATTGGAGAATGTTCTAATATGTGATTATAATATTTATGTCAGTTTGTTATATTTCATAAATGTTTTTAGACAGAAGTGGTATAAAACTAATTAAGGAGTCTTCATTAGGTTTATCGTGTGGCAAAGTCCGTAAGCCACCACGCGAGGTTCAGATGTACATTGATTAGTGGTGGTTCTCGGATAAAACCACAGGAGGATTCTTTGAACAATGCAATTGACATGGTTGTTGGAACCCCTGGTAGGATTCTACAGCATATTGAAGAGGGAAACATGGTCTATGGAGATATCACATATTTGGTATGCTCCATTTTGGGATCTTGGCATTATGTTCCATGTGGCTTATGATTTTGGGATCTGCACTAAACAAAGGGCAATGAGAATTTTTTTACCCAGGTGCTGGATGAGGCAGACACTATGTTTGATCGTGGCTTCGGTCCCGACATTCGTAAATTCCTTGCCCCACTGAAACAGCGTGCGTTAAAAACAAATGACCATGGATTTCAAACTATCTTAGTGACTGCTACTATGACAACGGTATGCACATGTTCATTGTGCTCTCATTATTGCATGCTGGTCCCAATGCTTTGCCATTATCATGATATTGTTCCTCCTCGCATCTTGAACTTAAGATAGGTTAATGAATGAAATTATGAATTTTCAGGCTGTTCAGAAGTTAGTCGACGAGGAGTTTCAGGGAATAGAGCATTTGCGAACATCAACATTGCATAAAAAGATAGCAAACGCTCGGCATGACTTCGTCAAGCTTGCAGGTAGTGAAGATAAGCTAGAAGCACTTCTACAGGTAAATGCATCATTGCCCTTTCTCATTTTGTAAGGGAATCAGTCATGCTAGGGCTCTGTTTTGGGTGCAAATGTGTCCAAGTTACACGAACATTCTTTCTGGTATGTGTCTGTGGTACTTAAATACATTTTTTATGCTTTGATGAGAATGCAGGTTCTTGAACCTAGCTTAGCCAAAGGGAGCAAGGTGATGGTCTTCTGTAACACTCTGAACTCCAGTCGTGCTGTTGATCACTTTCTTTCTGAACACCAGATCTCCACTGTGAATTATCACGGTGAAGTTCCAGCAGAACAAAGGTAGGATTATGATGGCTTTGCCTAAAGCGTAGTCCATTTCTTGAGGAACACATCCCTTATTCAAGGTGTAAAATTGGTTTTGCGTCTCATCTATTCAGGATTGAGAACTTGAAAAAGTTCAGGGAAGAAGAAGGAGACTGTCCCACGCTGGTGTGCACGGATTTGGCTGCGAGGGGTCTGGACCTTGATGTCGATCATGTAATCATGTTTGATTTCCCAAAGAACTCTGTAAGTATACTGGGAAAATGTACCTTCCTATATATGTTTATTTTTTCTTCTCTTAACTTATTGATTTGCTTGTCTTGAAATCTTATTTTACTTAAATTTGAATGCTTAGATTGACTACCTTCATCGCACCGGAAGAACAGCTCGCATGGGCGCTAAGGGTTTGTATCCTAGCTTTACATTACCACGTTTCAAGACTGCATTATTCAGATGGTTTCAGTCACACAAAAAACGTTTTTGCTTTAAAGTGTTAATGTGCGTCTCTTTGTAGGGAAAGTGACGAGTCTGCTAAGCAGGAAGGACCAAATGTTAGCAGGAAGAATCGAAGAAGCTATGAGAAACAATGAGAGCTTGGAATCGCTTACCAATGATAATGTGAGGAGAGATGCTGCAAGAACTCAAATCACCCAAGAGAAAGGAAGGAGCATTAAGCAGATCAGAGCAGTGAGCAAGCAACGAAACACCAAAGACAATGCAACATCATCTCGTCCTCCAAAACTAACATCAGCTCGTCCTGCAAAACCAATAGGTTCCAAGTATCCAGTGAGAAAGTCAACTTCGGTTTCAAAACCCGGAAAAACGTCATCTCCTCCAGGAAAATCTGAAAAGCCGAAAAGAAAAATATTAAAAACCGTTGGATCCAGATCGATTGCTGCAAAGGGGAAGAAGKGTTCAGAGAGAAGAACAGGAAAGAAACTAAGTGTTGTTGGGTTTCGGGGTCGGTCTTCTTCGTCAAGAGCCTCTTGATTACATGCTGAAAACTTCAGGGAAATTGAAGTCAGTGGTGAAGTGAATTATGTTCGGATTATGATTACAAAAGCGTTAGAGATGAATCATTTTGGGAAGACCACAACGTGTTCTTTCTTCTAAGCATTTCATTCCGATAAAAGAAATTCACTTTGTACCTTTGGAGAAACTCATAAACTTGTGACCGGCTATAAAATCTGGAAAGTATATGACATCTATGGTTGATAGTAAGATTTACATATACTTATCTTCTTCTTGTCAACTAACATATACTCGATAACATATACTTATCGAGTAGTAAAAAGGTATATGTTAACGGTGGAACATCAAGCACAATCAGAGTAACAAAACAAAGGTCTTGAAGAAGTGCAACAACCCCCATCAATTCTTGAGTTCAAAAGCCATCAATCATTGCTCATTAATTTAAAATGATGCAATATGTTTCTTTCTTCTATAAATGTATGTACGTTACCAAACATATATCACAGGAATAAACACGTACATGCGGAAGTTGCAGTTATGCTTCGGCACAAAAAAAAAAATAGAGAAAAATAACTATATATATCCCACATCGAGAAGAGATAATAAGAGAAGACCAAAGCTGGAGCTATAAAAAGGAAGTGAGTCCGACAAACCAAATCATACCTTTCTCGGCCTTTTGGCTAAGATCAAGTGTAGTATCTGTTCTTATCAGTTTAATATTTGGGACATTGTCCCGCATGATATTAACTTTATTTCTCTAGGGGGGAGAGTCCATTATGGCAGTTCACTGTCCGGGCTCCCGAGCGTCGCCTATGCGTTGCACTATGGCGCACCCCACCATAACAAGCTTAAAACCTTATCTCCAAGTAATCCACTTCTCTCTCTCACACACACTCTCACTCTGTGCTAGATGAAAAACAGAGTAACAAACAGAGTCCACGAAATTGTCTCACAAAGTGAAAACAAACGTATGAGATATTTAGAGCTGTTAAATGGGTTGACTGCGTCCAAATGGTCATGTCCAAGTGGACATTTTTTTTTGTGGACAAATCATGACCACGAATAGTAACGACCATCACCAATAACGACCGTGACCAATAACAACCATGTCCAAATGGTTTGTCCATGGGAATCCACTTGTATATGTTTTAGATAATTTGAATATGTTTAATTCACTTGTATATGTTCCTTGACAATTAATCATCAAAAAACAAAAAAAAAAATT